TCTTTGTCTCACGGGATCGGCATGCCTGTAAGCTTCTCATTATTCTTGATAATATTTTGGTGGTGTTCTGGAATACTGAATGGTTTTGCTTTTATTTTTTATTTTTTTACCTTACCTAGTGTGTTTTAGCATTGGAAGTACAGAGTGGTATCTTAAGATCTTTCAACAAGATCTTTTTTTATAAGGAATCTGGTTAATAGCCAGCAATAAGTGTAATAAATATTGTTATTAATCCACTAAATTTTTAAGCACGTGGTGTAATATTCTGTATATTAAAAGATATGCCTTTCCATAGGATAATCATATGACAAAAGGTCTTTTTTGGCATTGCATTAACAATATGATACCATCAGGGGAAATGAAAGAGTATTTGCTACTTTGTGCTGATAGGTTCTGTACTGGATGGGACCAGACTATATGTATAGATATGTTGCCGACAATTATTTGCGTTTTGTATCTAGGAGCACAAAAACTGAAATGTTACACCAAACGATATGTGGAAATGATTATTTGAATTGCTATGGTCATGATATCTTACATCCTTTTAAAGTTCTTTGTTTATATGCTTTTATTTTTGCATTTCTGATGTGCGTGTGTATGTTGTGGAGACTGCTTTAAATTAATCTGACTAACTTACATTTTATACTTTTTTTATTTTTGTATGCAGTGCCCTTTGCAAGAAGGAACTGTAGAATGTGGATATTATGTGATGAAATACATGAAGGAAATCGTTGATGATCCGAACTGCTCAATTATTACCAAGGTTAGTACTACTGTTACAAAGAGCACTTAAGCGGGTGTATTCGCTTGACATTTTATTAGCTCTATACCGAGTGAAAAAAAAATAAAAAAAATAAAAAAAAAACACATCAGCGAAAAATACGAGTACAGAGCCCTTGTTCTTTCTGGGCTAGTTGATGCTAATTGACCACTTCCTTATTAGTTAATGATTGAAATTAGTTTTTGTTGTAACATGTTCTCTTTGGTTGTGATTTGTTGCAATTCGAAGAAAAAGCTACATACACTCAACAGGAAATTGATGCATTAAGAATAGAGTGGGCTGAGTATGTTGATGACTTCATCCCAATAGATGAAACACTAGATTAGCTAGTTTGTGAAATTTTAAATTAAGTGAACTTATACTTATATTTTAGTAGGAAACTCTACACATTATATTGTCTTTTGTAATACTTCGGTACTGGATGAATTACAAATTTATGAAGCAATATTGTTTAATTTAATATCTTGCTTCTTCGATGAATTATGTTAAGTCTTTTTATATATGTCATCATACATATTTCAGGACGTGTATTGAATTGTTTATGACACGCTTTGTGTGTCGTTGCTAATATTCAATGACGTTGGAGTGCTATAGGACATGACACTATACAGATGTCATGTTTACTGTACCATGACACTTATTCCTCTGTTTATGACACATATTCTGGTCTTCAATTGAAATAGATGACACACTTTTTTAATTCAATGATCCTTGTTAGGTGTCTCTAAACGCTATACATGACATTGTGCGTATGTCATGATTAGTATACCATGACGCTCATTCCTATGTTTATGACACTTATTCTGTGTCTTAAATGGTAATAGATGACACAAGTTCTTAATTTAATGATGCTTATTGGGCATCCTTAAAAGTAATACATGACACTCTTTCAACGTCATAAAAAATATCTTTAATGACCCACAAAGATGACGCTAAACTCTTGTGTCATTAAACTTTTAACATGACCCATAAAATGCGTCACGTATGTAAAAATTTGTAGTAGTGGTTGTGTGACTGAGCAAGATAGCTCTAGGTTGTTCTACCCTAATATATAGTGCCATTGCCATACTTAATTTTTAAGTGAAACATTTTCTTTGCAAGGCAAGGGAATACCTGAATCTAACCCTATCGCCTTGTTAGCCCATGTGGTGAGAAAACAGTGGCGAATCTAGGAAATATTATTGGGGGCTTCCATAAGAATAGTGTTGGTAGTGCATAAAATTTTTTGGACTGTATAACATGACAATTGGCATTTCATCAAGTTTTGGTAAGCTTGAGGTCATTTTCCAAGTTATATTGCACGCATGTCGACATATGCCAAATAGCTTTCAAAAGTGCATGTCGACTGATGTCAATAACTTTAGATAAAGCATGACGATCGAAAGATGCCTTTAGCAAGCGTACAAAGGAATGAGGCTAGCAACTATCCTGCCCAGTGCCTTTAGAGGCAATACGTTGAACAGTTAGAGGACAACTTTCAAAGGCATCTCAGATTTTCAAAGAATAGCAACCAACTCTTTCATAGAAATTTCTGAGTTTGGGGAGTCAACAAACCTAGATCCGCCTATGTGGTTTTTGGGGGGGTAATGAATTAGAATTTCATTGTTCGATTCTTTATGACAAAAACAAAAGAAGTGTTACTTGAATTCATATTCTCACGTTTTTTTTTATATTCCTTTTAAGTTTGTTTTAAGGAGAATGTTGCTTGTAATTCAAGATATAATATGCATTCTCTAAACCTTTTTGGGGGACAAGTGATTCTTGCCCATAAATGTGAACTCAACGATTTACCATTAGAGCATTCTTACACGGCAATAACATGGGTTGTTCTTAGGGATGGGCAAATACCTGCGATTATGGTGTAACCACAGTTAGCCACTCATTTAAACTTTTCACAATTACGGTTATGGGTAACCGTTTAAATAAATAACGGTTATGAGCATAACCGTTTACCTGTGAAATTTAAATGGGTGGTTATGGGTATTAACCGCGATTATAAACGGGTAACCGTTTATCTATTTATTTTATATATGTAAAATTAACACAAACCATGTTCTCCACCGGACAAAACTCAGATCAATGCTATTGACTGACTATAGTGCATGGTTTCTGTAGCTAATTATAATATAATGTACCTAATTATATATATATATATATATATATAGATATTATGTTAATACTTTACATTCTGGGTTAAATACCAAGAATACTGTCTTCTAAATAGTTTTCGTAACCCAATAATATATAGCAAATATTATATTACCTTCATTGGTAACAGTTAAAAATATCATCCGTAAACTATTATTCCAATTATTGGAATGGTATAAGGACTTAAAAAATTAAAATATCGAAATGTATGATGAATATACATATAACGGTGTTTAATTGTCAGAAAAAGAAAATTATGACAAATTTTTTTTTTTTTTTTAATTTTCAAGTTGTTTAAAAACATGTAGATGGGTGAAAAAGGAGTAAATGGTAAAAGAAAAAAAGGTAAATGGGTAAACTAGTACTAAATGGTTATGGTTAAATAGGTAAGCGGTTATGGGTATAGTTAACCGTTTATAAACGGTTATGGGTATGAGTATAACCGTTTAGGCAATTACCTAACAGGTAAACGATTATGCGGGTATGAGCATAAACAGTTATGGATAAATAACAGTGGTTACCCACCCACCATAACCGTTGCACATCCCTAGTTGTTCCTTGACCCCCTTTATCATATTAATTCTTTACTCTTACAATGAGAAATGATAATTTGAAGTTAAGACCTCTTCCGACATCAAGAAAATAAATTAGTAGGTGTAATTGCTACAGAAAAATAAATTAGTTATCATTAGCTTTCATGTTACTGTAAATCCAGGGTGATTTAATTCCTTCAGCCACTAAGGGGTACAGATTGTCTTGTAATGCAAAACCATAAAGTGAGTTCTAATCTAAAGGCTCATCCATTGAAGTTAGACGTAGTTATCAAAGATAGCATTTTTGCTTATAATCACGCATGTAATGATCCTGAATAATCAAATCCAAAACCATTTACTTGGTCAAATCTTATACTTTCTCAGTCTGTTTACTTTCCAAAGGCAAACCACATCGAAACATATATCATGAGCTTTGGTTGAGAAAGTTTCGATTGTGTTTCATTACGATTCTGAGTTTGTCCAATCATTAACAAAATTGGTGAGACAAATGTCGATTTTGAGATTATCTTGTATGAGTTTCGTTCTTTCTGTTTACTGTTTGACTTATGCTTCTTGTACTATGCATTTTTGGTTTTTCTGCTACTCTTATCCATATGGTTATTCTTACGCTTACCAAGCATGGTATAGGTTTTCTAACCAAGTTTTTAATGATTCAAACGCAACAGTATGTTATTTCACCAGAGGGGCTTATGGAGAACGAGAATCTGTCAAGTTTCTTTAAGATCTTGACAACATGTACTGATGAAGATGATAAGGTACTGAATGTAATTATCTTGTTTGGTTATGCGTTTCACTCTCTCGCAATCTCTCTGGATTTATTTTATTCCCCTTATGATTCTAACTGTTGCAGTAACACTATTATCAGGTCTAAGCGTCCACAGCACACGCATACAACTATCCTGTGACTGCCTTCCAATGGCATCCAAAGGTATTACCATAATTTTTTTTTTTTGTCATCTTTATTACTACTCTAAATTTAGCAATATAAGCAACAGCACAATAACAGTGTTTTAATATGGAATCATCTCGAGGCGCCTTTTACTTGAAATAGCATTTGCCTACACACTTTGTATGTATGAACACATTTTTTTAGAAAATGAGAAGAAGAGAGGGAGAGAGAGAGAGAGAGAGGGAGAGAGAGAGAACGTGGGGTGGGAGGTTTTTGATTTTGATATTTAAAAAAAAAAAATTAAATATTAGAGATATTTTAACATTAGGTGAAGCTTCAATAAAAAACAATAAAATTTGGACCTATAAAATTAAATTATTGCCTATCATTTTTTATGAGATAAAAGACTAAGTTGTTTTTTCACCTTTTTTTATTGACAAAGAATGTTTCATTAATTAATAGAGATTAGTGTCTGCAAGATCTCTACTAAGATGCATTCACAACCTTGAGAAGGAGAAGCAATTATTGTGGAATTATCAAATTCTGCTTTTCTTACCATCTTTACATGAAGATTACACAAAAACATTAACAATTTCCACTTGAGACATTTGCAATATTGCTATATTTGTAGTCTTAAGAAGATTTTCAATAATTATTGCTGTTTATGAAAAGCAAAAGACTAAAGTTTGCATCTAAAATATTAAATACTTTTGAGGATATCTGGACTTAATAGATTATTCCAACGGATCTGTTTCAAGTTTTAGAAGACTAACTAATTGAATTGCAGAAAAATGCTTTTGAATGGTGCTTACCAATGATTCCGCACTCAGAGAATGCTATTCAAGTGACTCAGCACGTCGCAAACTTCTTGGTCAGGTTAGGGTTTATGCTTTATCCTTCTGTATCTGTCTTTTAGTTCTAAGTGAACCGTTGCGTTTTTGAACATTGTCTAGAATGTTGAGTGGCACTCTATTCGGAAGGGCATACGTAGAAAAAAAAATTGGAAAATTTAAGGTTCAGAATCTTCGGATAACCGCATTATTTGTTTATTCAATGCATCTAGAACTTTAAAACTCCCCCAAGTTTATTCAACCGGAATGGTATCAGACCCTAAATTTACGCTAATCGTGAATTTGTGATGCAGCGAGGCAAGGAAGTCATTAAACAGACCGCCTGTTGGGCAAGTCCTTGACAATCTCATCTACAATTACAGTCCGACTTTCTGTGGGAAGGTTGGGTAAGCCAAAGTGCTCTTCAGACTGCACTTTTATTTTGAATTTGTGCATGAATTTATTAACTTGGTTGCCTATGCTTTGCTTTGTGACCGCAGGAAGGGATACGACGAAGTTTACATCTTTACACAACCTTCACTCGCTCATTCGTAAATCAAACGTGCAATCGAACGTGTAATGGACAATGGAAATGGAAATAACTGAAGACTTTGAGAACTGTAAACATTGTAATTACAGGACATTAGCACTCTCATGAGTCTAAAACCTTTTTTGTGATATTCATGCCATCAGATTATTTAGTGAAAATATGACTTTAGCCCTTCAAACTCAATTTTCTTCATATTAAACCCTAGATAATCTTTTTATTCAAAGAAAACCCAATGACTAGGATCCACATAAGCAAATTCATTAACTTCATATTAATTCACACATTTTACATTTTTCACATGCCTAAAATACCCCTATTACATACTTGATGTAGACAATTAATTGTAAGGAAGTAGTAAATGATTTTGCAACAAGAAAAAAATAGAGACATTAATGTTAAAAATTTATTGCATATTACTTTTTTAGAAAGGTTTTGAATTTTCATAAAACTATTCGATTTAGTTTTTTCACCCTACTCTTGAATACTTTTGAATTTATCCTTCTTTTATTAATATATTAGAACATTGTATTTCATTATCTACATGCACATTTATTTACCTACGAACAATTATACCATGGGTGTAATATAATATCTCTTTTTTACAATGATGCAAAATAATGTTTATACCAACAACAAAACGTGCCTAACATATTACTAATACATGGAAAATAATTTACCTATATTAAGAAGAAATGTAGTTCGATGCATAGTATTAAAAATACTATGTTACACCCATGTTTATACAACAATAAACCGTGCCTAACATTTCTAACAATACATGAAAAATAATTTACCTACAAGTTAGAGAAATGTTATTTGGTTGGGTGTAGTATAAATTTTTTTAATAATTGGAAAAATTAAATATAACTAGGTGTAGTAAATTTTTTTTTTTTATATAATTAGAACAAATTAATATACCTACCTACTCTTTGAAATGTTCATTTCCAATGATGCAAAATGTTCATTACCTAACTACAAATTAATTTCCAATAATTTACCTACAACAATTATACCATGGGTGTAATGTAATATCTTTCTTTACAATGATACAAAATATTGTATGTACCAACAACAAAACTTGCCTAACATAAGTACTTGTACATGGAAAATAATTTACTTGTAACAAAAGAAATGCAGTTTCATGTATAAAATCAACAATATTATGTTCCACTCATGTTTATACAACAACAAAACGTGTCTAACACATATAAAAATACATAGAAAATAATTTACCTAAATGTTAGAGGAATGTTATATTTGATTCAAAATATATAATATAGGTGTAGTATTTTTTATTTTTAAATAATTGGAACAAACTAATTTACCTACCAATTAATATGGATAAAATTGCTACAAAATATATCACAAAAAAAAAAAAAAACTACTTTTCTAGTTTGCAATGGATACGGTTAATGCAAACACTTTTTTCATTTTATTTCACTTTTTCTACTACTTTTAATTTGTCATAAATTTAGGAATTTGGAAAAGGGACCATAAAGTATGAGTGGCATAAGTGTAAATAAGTTGTATTAATAGGTCAATAGTGTTCCTATATGTTTGCAAATTTTAAATTTGGGCTTAAACTGGATTTTTAAAGATAGATGAGTTTTTATCTAGAAATAATGAATTGTAAGGGCCAAAATCTAAAGCACCCGATTATTTATGAAATAATCTACTCCGCAGTCCGGTGTGCATAAGAAGTGGCAACTAGAATATTGCTTGCATCAAAAGAAAAGGAAAAGGAAAAACGAAGCAAATGCACTTGAAACATTTTCCTTCCAACTATAATAAGGGCAAACCATGCAGTTCAAGCCATAGTCCCCGGGATGTAGTGCAGTAGCAGACTTGCTCGAGTGCCCTGGGCGAGAGTGTAGCATTGATCGCCGCCATCACTGCTTGATCCTCCCTGCACCATATTGCCTTGTCGGAGCGTAAGAGCGAGCCATCGACATAACCCATGAGATCGTAAGCTCCGAGTATGGCGGTCATCTGATATTTCCAGACATCAAAGTTGGAATCTACCTTCAACTTCATAGGCATAACATTGTTTATATTTGAGAGCAGATCGTTGATTGGACGTTTCGGGGTGGAGCTAGATGAAGAAGCCATGGTGGAATACCTTTCGGTGTTGCACTGTAGAACTGGATCAAAACCAAGTGATAATTTCACTATTTGCAAAACAAAATCGAAGAAATAGTTCGTCAGATTTGAAATTTACCAGATGAGGAGCAGAAGGATGAGCACGAACAAACGCACCGTAGTAGTCTTTTGTATCACTTTGAACAGGGATATAAAGTAATTTGAGTGATAAAGCAGTGGTATTGTGTTTGATATAAAGTAAATTAAAGTGGTGGGTGCTTTAGTGATAAAGCAGTGTTATTGTGTTTGATATAAAGTAAATGTGGATGCTTAGTGATAAAGAGTCTTATTATGTTTGATATAAAGTAAAAGTGGTGGACAGATATTTTTTCGTTTTTGGGTTATTGGGATATAAAGTAATGTGAGTGATTCAATTGGGATCTTCAGATATTTTAATTTTTTTAATGAATTTAGGGGTATTCATGCAGGATTTTAAGTGATTCTCTGAAATTCAAGATGTATTCAATTAGAACTTTAAAATAGTTTATTAAAATCCTTAGAAATCCAGGTGTATTCAATTAGAAATTGATTTTAAAGAATTTAAGAAGGTTGAGGAATTAGAGCGAATTGGAGAGATTTCGTAGTGTATTTTAAGCATCTACAAATCTCACCTCTCCCCATAAGAGTTCGAGGGAATTGAATCAAAATTTTATATGGAATCTCTGCAAATCAATTAAACTCCATAAAAATCTATGAATTTATAAATTCATTAAAGTCTCTCAAATTCTCAATTGAATACACTCCCTTATTGTGTTTGATATAAAGTAAAAGTGGTGGATGTTTCTTGGATGTTCCTTCATTTTTGGGCTTTTGGAATATAAAGTAATGTGAATGATAAAGTAGTGTTATTGTGTTTGATATAAAGCAATGGCGTGTTTACCAATCAAGAGTGGAATGGAGAGAAATGGAATTGAATTCCTCCCGAAGCATTATGCCATTTACTAGCAATTGAGGAATCAGATTTTATGTGGGGTCCACCCAATTTCAGGAGTCAATTCCGGATTTTCCCGGAATTGGATTACCTCTGTAGAGGTGGTAATTGAATTTCAGGTAGAGGGCTGCATCATGAATCAAAGTTTTCTACCCAAAATATCCATGTATATTCCTAAAATAACTCCTACCTTCAACAATCACTCCCCTCTGTATTTGTTTCTCTCGTAGCACAGACCACCCCACCCCACCTTCGCAATCTGAAACGATGTCGTAGCATTGAACAACGAACGCCTAGATTTGGAACAATGATCGCCTAGGGTTTGAAATGACGCCCCAACAACGAACATGATCTGGAACAACGAACGCCCAAACCCTCAAGGAAATTGTGATTTGCAGACCCAAACAGAATAGAAGGAAATAACTTTTATCATTTTCACCCTGAAAATTGGATTTTTTTTTTTTTGGTTAAGGGGGTGGGTCGTGGCTTCGTGGTTCCTTCTGGGATTGGATGGTGGGGTGTGGATACTGCGTACAAGGAAACAAAGGAGAAAGAAAGGGGGAAGAGAGAGAAGGAAGTAAAATTTTATTTTAGTTTACTTTATGTAGGTATTTCTAATAGGGTTTAGGGTGATTAAGAATTAGACACTGGAATGCCAAGATATGGAAAGAAATTCAAAAGTTTCCAAGGGTTTTACAGAATCGGATTATATTACATAACATTATATTTGCAGCCTTTTTCACGTGAATTAGGTTCATGTCTTTCTGATATGCAGTTGTGAGTTTACTAGCTATGACTAGTTTCATTATGTCGTTCGAGGCATGGTTGTGTGACTGAGCAAGATAGCTCTAGGTTGTTCTACCCTAATATATAGTGCCATTGCCATACTTAGTTTTTAAGTGAAACATTTTCTTTGCAAGGCAAGGGAATACTTGAAGCTAACCCTACCACCTTGTTAGCCCTTATGGTTAGAGAACAGTGGCAGATCTAGAAAATATTATTAGGGGTTTCATTAAGAATGGTGTGCGTGGTGCACAAAATTTTTTGGACTGTATAACATGAAAATTGGCATTTCATCAAGTCTTGGTAGGCTTGAGGTCATTTGCCAAGTTATATTGCACATATGTCAACATATGCCAACAACTTTCAAACAAGCATATCGACTGATGTCAATAGCTTCTGATAAAGCATCCCAATCAAAAAATGCCTATAGCAAGCATACAAAGGCATGAGACTAGCAGCTACCTTGCCAAGTGCCCTTAAAGGCTATACGTTGAACAGTTGGAGGACAACTTTCAAGGTCATCTTCAATTTTCAAAGAATAGCATCCAGTTCTTCCATAGAAATTTCTGAGTTTGGGGGGTCAGCTGACCCCAGATCCGCTGCTGTGAAGGGGGGTAATGAATTAGAATATCATTGTTTCGATTCTTTATGACAAAAACAAAAGAAGTGTTACTTAAACTTATATTCTCGAGGTTTTTTTTTTAATTTTGTTTTAAGGAGAATATTGCTTGTAATTCAAGATATAATATGCATTCTCTAAACCTTTTTGGGGGACAAGTTATTCTTGCCCATAAATGTGAACTCAACGATTTGCCCTTAGAGCATTCTTACACAACAATAACATGGGTTGTTCCTAGGGATAGACAAAATACACGTGGTTATGGGTAACTGTAGTAACTGTGTATCTATTTATTTTATATATGTAAAATTAACACAAACCATGTTCTCTATCGGACAAAACTTAGATCAATGCTATTAACTGTAGTGCATGGTTTATGTAGCTAATTATAATATAATGTACCTAATTATATATATTATGTTAATACTTTACATTATGGGTTAAATATTAAGAATACTATCTTCTAAACAATTTTCGTAACCCAATAATATTTAGCAAATATTAAATTACCTTCATTGGTAATAGTTAAAAATACCATCGGTAACCTATTATTCCAATTATTGGAATGGTGTAAGGACTTAAAAATTTCAAATACCGAAATGTATGATGAATGTACCTATAACGGTTGTAATGACCTGTCCCCAATTATTACTATTTTTATAATTTAAAAATGAGAAATTACAAAAAATGCCCTTTGAAGCAAATACTTTGATCTTTATTAACCGCCTTGTCGTGTCACATAAGATCTGTTTTCTTGGCATATTTGGGTAGTACTCGTTGCCACAAACGCGTGGGCGTAAACGGAACGTGTTTTGGAGTTATAACAAAAGAATTATTAACGTTTAAAATTGGGGGCATTTTACTAAATTGGTTATTTTCTAGAAAGCTCCAGATTTTTGGAGCTTAAGCTGGAAAGTCACATTTGTGGCCCAAATTTAAAGAAATAATAAATTGACGGTTGGGAGATAAGATAAAGGAGAGAAATGAAGGGCGGGATGCCCATTCAGAAAGAGGAGAGAAGGAAGGGACGAATGGGAAAGAAAAGAAATGAAGGGAAGGGAAAAAAATGAGGAGTACCGGATCACCCTGACCTAGTTTCTCTAGCGACTCGACCCGGTTCTCTTCACTCCCTCCAACGGTTTTCTGTCGGTTTTTCCGATGAACCATGTCAAACAAACACCTAGGAATTACTCCATGGCCTTTCCTCTACCAATTACAACCTAAAATTGATGGAGATTAGCTTTGATTTAGTGAAACACCGGTGGGTGCGATGGATTCATGTCGTCGATCCTCCTATTTCTGAAACAATTTCTTCCAATTACCACCACCAATAGACTTCCCTTCAGGTTTAGAACAAAGCCCAAACAACTTGGGCGTAACATCGGAGGTAACGGATCGAAGTCACCCAAATCAAGGATTTCGGACGATTCGTGGGAAATTTGAGCGGTTTTCCGGCCAAATTGGCCTTAGTCACAAGTATGAAAGTTGCTCCACTCATTGAGATCTTCATTCCTGTAAAATTTGAGATTTTTTAGAAATAGTTAATTTTTCCGGCGAGTCGGGGCGGCCGAGGTATCCCATAACCTTTCTAGACTAAATTTGATTCTCCAATTCCGTATGTGAAGTCCGATTGACAAATTTCTATCATTTGAACCTAGTTTCATTAAGGTTCGCCACTTGATTAGAATAGTAATCGATGATCCGACCGTTGGATTGTCACCAAACTTTAATATATTATAATACGTAATATTTGAGTACCATAGGAATTTACGGATCAAGAATCTGTAATAAGGGTATTTCTGAATTAGATTTGTAAGTTCGTAAAATAAAACGTTGGCTGCCACTTTTTTTTGGCAATTGGCGAAGATCCAACCGTTGGATCGTAATGAAACTTTAGTATAATGTTTTAGAAGCATAATGTAAATATTTGGAATTTATGGATCATAAATCCGAGGTGTGGATCTTCCAAATCGAGTTACGTAGGGTTCTAGACCCTACCATCGATCTTTGACCGATGGTTGACTTTTGGTCAATGGGTCTCAAATCATTCTAAAACATCCTTAGAGATGTGTTTTATGTAAGTTACGTTTTCTATTGATAAGAACTCTGAGATGTGGTTTGATAATTGTTCTAGGCACCGATCGTTCGTGACGCCTCGATGTTTGTGTTAGAGAGTTGTAGCGCGGACTCCAAGTGAGCGGGTCTTTTTCCTTTTTATAGTATATATATACACACCTTACGGTTTTCTAGAAATGTTTTAAATTGATTATGCATAGCATGCCATGATTTAAATGTGTTATATTTAAATATTGCATTATGATGAGATTTGTGGTTATGCCAAATGATCCTACGGAGGTGTAGGTAAGTTCAGGTGAGTTATTATGAGATTGAAATGGTTAAATTATATAAGCATGAATATATTTATTTGGAGCTCATCATGGCTGCACCCCGGTGTTAGTGCTCCCGCACCGTGCGCTCACCTTGGATCCAAGTTTTGTGCCAACCCTATCGTACAAACCACAATAGGTGGTTCCGACTCGTAGGTGACTCACAATTATTCGCACAGCCTTCACGTGATCGTAGCACTTGAGTGTACATATTTACACTCAACACTGTCTTACAGACCATAATAGGTGGTTCTGACTGGTGTGCTAGCCTAGATTAATGAGCTACATGTTCAGTCGTACAGGTCACGTTAGGTGACTCCGACTGGCATACTATTTTATATTGGTTTCACACCTGATTTACGTTTATTATTGCTGAGATATTATGACGTGGCATGCTTCTGTTCTCACTACACTTGTGCATTCATTTTCATACTTATGTAGTATTATTATTTTCTAGAAACTATACAGGTTTTACGGCGAGGGGTTATAACTTTTTCAAAAAGGTTTTTATTAAAACTTTATTTTCAGGCCCACTCACCTTTATTTTTCGCCCCTCCAGGTTTTAGTTGCTGAAAGTTCGTATCGACGAGGATTCTTGGCGAATCTCAGTATAGGTGGCTACCTCTGAGGGTATGATCCTTACCTACATTACTGTACTTTACTTGTGCTCTGACGTCGCGTGTGAAATGGGTTCATTCCCGCTCACATCACACTCTTGTCTTTAGGCACTTTTAGGTTTAAATTTATTCACATTTTCCACTTCACTATACTTTATGGCTTCGTCACCTTCCAGTTATCGGCCATCACAGCTCGATTTGAAGCCCTAGTGAACATTCTGGGTTGGGGTGTGTCAACGGTGCTTAATTGTCAGAAAAAGAAAATTATGACAAATTTTTATTTTTTTTAATTTTCAAGTTGTTTAAAAACATGTAGACGGGTGAAAATTGAGTAAATGGTAAAAGGAAAAAAAAAAAAAAAGATAAATGGGTTAAAAAAGGGTAAATGGGTAAACGGGTACTAAATGGTTATGATTAAATGGATAAGCGGTTATGTGTATGGTTAACCGTTTCTAAACGGTTATCCGTTTAGGCAATTATCCAACAGCTAAACGATTATACAGGTATGAGCATAAATGATTATGGATAAATAACCGTGGTTATCCGCCCGCCATAACCGTTGCCCATCCCTAGTTGTTCCCTGACCCCATTTACCATATTAACTCTTTACTCTTACAATGAGAAACGATGATTTGAAGTTAAGACCTCTTCCGATATCAAGAAAATAAATTAGTTATCATTATATTGAAGGTGTAATTGCTACAGAAAAAAATAAATAATATATATATATATGTATGTGTGTGTGTGTGTGTGTGTGTGTGTGTGTGTGTGTGTGTATTATATCTTTGACTACTTATTAGCATGAATTGAGTAAGAGGCCCATGGCTTAGGTGCTTAACTAACATTTACATGCGTGCTAGAAGTCTTGTGTTCGGACCATCTTCCCTCCATATTTCTAAAATTAAAGACAAGACTGAGGCAGACTTGAGCATACTTAAGTTGCTAGGGCAGTGTGCTTTACACCTGTTACTTTCTCAGGGTTTCGCATGAGAAGTAAGAGGATTAATTTTCTAATGAACCGAAGGTCCCTCTATTCTCTCTTAAATCTTTATAAAGCTCGGCAAGAAAGGGTTGGTTATGAACTCTTGAGCATCAAATTGATGTAATCCAAGAGGAAAAATGAAACTGATCACTATACTGGAGAGCAAAACATGACCATTACTTAAGATTTAAGTACCATTGACAAGACTAAAAAAACCGAAAAAATGACTACCTATAATAAGCATAGGCTAATACGGGCCGACCATGCTCTCTTGCACTCAAGTTCAAGTCCATCTCTTTGTTTTGATGAATTTGATATAATTTTTTAAAAATAAGAAAAAAAGGAATGAGTGTATGGAAAACTTTGATGACACAAAAGAAGTTTAGATGAGAAATGCTTATGGTATCACAAACCACCAAAGAAAGCCTTCTTCCCAAATGATCACGTGACTATTTGCAGGGGCACGTGCTGATGTGAGTCCCTACATATATTTCACTTGTAACAACTGAAGAAAGGGCAAAACTAGGGGTAGTATTGGAACGATTACCGTACCAAAACTCATGTATCAATTACCATACTAAATTTTTGGTATGACAAAATCTATTACCATTACTATGCCAAATTTTCGGTATACCGAATTTCGGCATGCTAAATAGTTCGGTTGACATGGTATGGTAATAGTAATTACTACTTTGGGGAAAAATTTGATTTTTTTTTTTTCAACCCAATTAAAGGCCCAAACGTGTTTTGGCCACTCCCTTTGGGTTTCTAAATTTTATTTATTTAATTATGAAAATTTTATAGATTCATTTAAGAAACAAGAAGTGAATAGATGAAAAAATTGTAGAAAGAACCCAATATCCCTAAAAAAAATAGTACAAAGATTCCTAAATTCCATTTCTACATTCTTTAAAATTGTACAAAAATTAACTTGATAGACGAAGCTAGGGAGAAATACATCCCAATTTGATGAAGGTGAAGATGAGATGGACTCCGGAGAGAGTCGCCGGAACTAAAGCAACAGAGATGAAGTTGATGGCTAAATGAATGAAAAGATGAAGAGTCACAGCACAAGAAGGCTTAGGTTTTTTTATTGGGAAGGTTGAGGTTAGAGGGTGAGATGATTGGATAAATGACTAGGAAAAAAATATAAAGTGCATATATAATGATAATAATACCTAAATATATATATATATATATAAATGAATAAATAAATGATATAATATTAATAGTAGTGGTACGGTATGGTATCACTAGTAATGATTTTGAATATTATTACAGTACCAAAAATGTATAATACGGTACAAATAACATACCATTAATAATGATACAATTTTTTTGACACAACTTTAGTATAGTACTGTTTGTCATTCAGTTAGTATTGGGCAAAAAATTCCACCTAGGCAAAACGCAGAGAATATGGCGGGAAAAGAAGCGAGCCTTGGGAGGGAAACTCATTGAAAGATCTAATCTTTCACTTTCACGCCTTTTACTGTTTTTCTAAGGGAGAATCGGCGACCCAAAATTTTTCCTTTTACAAAAAATGGCCCAAACCGAAACCCTAGGAATCATCCAAGACATCGAAACCCTTGTCTCCGATCAACTTCAAGTGGTACCAATCCCTTTCTCTCTCTCAATCTCTCGATTTTCGTTTTATTTTTCTCAATTTTACAGTTATTATATTATTTACTGTAATTTTGGCATGACCCATCAAATTTTCAGCTTTAATTTTTGTTATTTTTGTTCGATTTAGTGTTTTTGCTGCGTATTACTCTTTGATTTTGGAGCTAGCTCTTACTAGGGTTTTGGTGAATTTCTAATTGTTTCAAAAAATTAATTTTTAGGGATTTGTTATTGGGTTAGGTTCAAAAATGCAATAAGCTTCGGAACCACTTTCAATTTAGCATGGATATCGAACTGTTACTTGTGTGTTTCGTGACAAAGAAAATTCTTGATTGGAATTTGAGTTAAGATGCATTTAACTTCGTATAAGATGGTCTAAATTTAGTTACTTTCGGTACTGAATTATGTTATAGGTTTCCTACAAGTGGCTGAGTCGAAATTATTTGGTGTCTTCGAATGCTGCAAAGAGGTATAGGAACTGTCTCAAAGCTTGTGGGTTGCATTTCTTGTTTACAAGTGATTAAATGTTGTTTTGTATAGGTTACTCCAGGAGTTTGTTGAAAAGCATGAAAATGGGTTCGAAGTGGTATATGTTTTGGCTGGCTGGTTGAAGAGCGATCCTTCAAGCTACCATATAAGGCTTGTTTCTGGGCCTAAGCTTACAGGTGACATATAATTGTAGACTAGTATGTATGTTTACTTGTGCTGATATATTTTCAAGTAAAATCTAATAGGGAAGCATCCAATTATATTCCTTTTAAAAAGAACACCAAGATTTTAAATCAATCGTGTACTTCCTGGTTCTATTAGATGCAATAGAACATGTTAAAAGAGCGAGAGCAGTAGTTTGGAGCATTAGATTCCCAATAGGACATGCATACATGCATAGAATTAGACATGTTGTACATACGTGGACTTGAGTGATGGTTGACACAATTTGGAATGTAATAGATGCTGTTATTTCTTTTGAGTTTAATCATCCTTTCATGAGCTATTTAACAATGGTTTCCATTTCTTACTTTAAAATCTTTTAAGTGTGCTAGTTGAAATCAAAGATAAATGTTCATGCTTTTTCTTGGTCCGTCTCATAATCTTTTTGTCAGACATTCATATTTAGTCTCATCATTATACATCCGGTAAGTGAAATATTATGGAACGCATGTCTGTCAAATTATATGCAGAAGCAAAAGAAGAATTTGATGGCAACTGCTCAGTCGAGGTTTATAGTGTGCAAGCTTGCATCCCAAAGGATCCAGCTGCACTGTGGAATGCTGAATTTGTGCAAGCAGAGGAGCTCTTTAAGCAGGCTCTTACGGTTGAGAATTGCTTGAGAGATAACAGGTATATTTCTTTCTATCCTACTCCTATAAATAAAAGGTAGGCTTTTTAGCCAAAATGGTCCCTGAGATTTACATAAATCCTCACTTTGGTCCTTGAGATTTGAAATAGATAGAATTGGTCCCTAAATATAAAGAGTTTATGAAGTTTAGTGCGTCTAATGTATTGCAACTTTGCAAGTCTGGCAAATCTAACAGATGCTGATTTCTGCTCGGTAAGGATTACGTAATAGTTGGCCTTGTATTCATTGGAATCTTTTCCATACAGCACAAAAAGAAGAAAAGTAAATGAAAGTGATTTGTCACTGTAACCACTTAAATTTATTTGGTTGATTTTTGGTTTATGAAGAATTTCTCCTGCTAATTATCGTAGGAGTACATTAGTAGTTAAACATTGACTTGTGAAGTGTGTATTTTAATCCTAACTTAAGTTATGTAACAGAAAGCACTTAATCAATTGATTTTTTTTCTTTTTTCTGGTGGGTGATTATAAAATTTGCATTCTTAGCTCATTAGATATTTCAAAATTCAGAAAATTTTATAAGATGGTAGTTGGCTTTTATACTTTACAAATACCAAGAGTTAATTACTTAATGTTCTGGAGTTTCTGCTTTCGTGCTCATGCATGGTCAAATATATTCATCCCAGTGGTCATTGTTCCATTCATACGTATGATCTATTAGTTTTTAGTTATATAAAAGCATTTCTACTTATACACCTGCTTATGTGACATTTTAGCTTCGTTACCTTGATTTTCAATGCTCTTCTTTGTTGTCTTCTTCAGGTTTGGTGGGATTTCCAATTCCTTTGTTAAGCGTAATGTGGATGGAGCGCCATTAAGCACTGAATCTCCGCAACTTAAATCTAAAGCAGTAATAGGGCGATCAGAAATTAATTTACAGGCTACCAATGTGGTCAGAGATGTCCAGAATAAAGGACAGCAATCTAGCCCAAAAGTTGGTTTACAGGCTACCAATGTGGTAAAAGATGTCAAAACTGAAAGTAATGGAACAAGAGTTTTTGATCAGGCTAACAAACCTCCTGCAGCTAAAGAAAAAGTTCCTCCTGTGCCTATGAACAAAACGAAACTCCAGAATGAGAAAAGCTCTTCTGCTTCTGGAGGTTCATTGGCAAATTTCTGGGGCCGGGCATCTGTGAAGTCAAAGTCAGATGCTCCAGAGAAAAATAATACTTCCATTCCTGATCATACTGGTTGGTTTCTATTTATCGTTATCTTAAGCAGCTTGTAAAAATTTAATTCTACCTTCTGGAAGTGATGGATAAGTTGGGAATTTATTCTCTGAGAAGCATTTTAAATGCAAATAGGTTCTTTGTTTTTGTGCTCAAGAATGTATCTGGCTCAAATATCTCTATATATCCTTTTTCCTGTTTCAGGAGCTAGTGCAAATCCTCAAACTTGTGCTCAAGAAGCAGTAGCGGGTGTCAGCAGTGACGATGATGGTCAACAAGTCAATTTTAAGAGATCATCCAATGGCGAAGGCACTAGGAAAAGGAGGGTTGTCTTTGATTTCTCAGATGATGACGAAGATGCAGTTAATTTAGCATCACTGGAGAATCCAAAAGGGCAATCATGTCTAGATCTGAAAGAAAGCAGCAAAGTTATGGTTCCAGAGAGAACCAATTTGAATTTTGACGAGCAAGTAGAAGATAATCCCAAGGTTAAGGAAGAAATATCTGTTGATGGGGAATCTAACGAACCTTCCAGAGAAGATTCTTCAGTTGTCAGGAAAGTGATAGATGCTGGGATTATCCTTAAAGAGAAGCCTATTCCCGAACAAAATGTGAACAAAATGGATAAACCCACCAACGCTGCTTCAAGTTCACCTAAAAGAAGAAAAGTTATGAAGACGGTGATTGATGAACGAGGAAGAGAAGGTAAGCTGTGTTTTAGTTTATAAATCGTCCCATTAGCAAGATGTTGCTTGGCAAGCTGGCAGGGCTGTTCCTGTTTCTGCTTCTGCTTTAAAATTAACACCTTCCCCTTATTCAACCAAATATAATTAAGTTGGACTTGTTGGTAATTTTATCTTTGACTATGTATATTAATTTGTTCTTTTAATCAAATTTTTGTAGTGACTGAAGTAATCTGGGAGGGTGAGGAGACAGAAGCAAAGAAAGCCGACAGTGGTGTAATCAAGAAAGCCGGCAGTGATATAATCAACAAAGACGACAGTGATATAATCAAGAAATCTGATAATAAAGCTCCCAGTGCGGTTAACAAGTAAATTAATTTCTTTTTTTATTTGCTTTGGTGGTTTCTATCTTAGAGAATATCTAATTGGGTATTATAACCTACTTGATAAAGGATGCTTGTAACACAAGCAAAACAGTTCATCTTGTTTGATTTCACACACTATTCTTTTTCACATCATGCAAATTCTTGATCAGTTGGATTACGAACATGTGGAATTGTTCACACCTCAGTAAATTCTGCCAATTCCAACTCTTTTTGTAGTATGTGGGTTGAAACAAATGTTACAAATATCAATGGCTTATGTTAGAAACAGGTGATTGTATTTGAAGTTGCAAGTTTGCAACCAGGTAGCAGGCTTAAACTGCTAGAATATTGAATAATTCTGTTCCGGATATCAAATATCAGGTAGACCGTAAAATGCCAGGAAAACCTGTAGATCAGATGCTGTATATCTTAGTTTCTAATTTCGGTGCTTCACTTTTGTTCCCATATACTTGTACTAGCATTTGAATCCTTTATGTGGTTTATTTGATTGCCTAGCTTGGGCAGGAATACGGTCTTGTGTTAGTTATTTTGTGCCAATTTTTTTATCGATCTTTCTTGATGATGTTTTACCTTGTGCCTGATGACTGAACTCTAATTTTGGATATGTGAATCCAGGCTGCCTGCAGCTAAGAAGTCAGTGGGAACTCCGACAAATGCAACTGGGAAAGCAGGAAACAAGAAAGGAGTAAACAAGGATCCTAAGCAAGGAAATATTCTTTCATTCTTCAAGAAGGTCTAGAGGCCTTTTTAAAAGCTCAAGTACCCTGCAGGAGTGTTTGACTATGTGGTCCCTTTGGGTAATATAGGTTTTCGAGTTGGCTAGATCTCACCTTTCTTTGCGGTCTAGGGGGACGGGATTGGGGTGGGGGTGCATTGCTCTCGCATCTTGTTCTATTTTTAAAGCCGACGGAAGGGAGGGTGCTTGTTTTCCTTCACTGCTGCTAATTTTAGGCTCGGATGTGTATATTATCTTCTCTCAGACTTGCACTTGATCCAGCATATTAAATGTACTGTCACAATTTATTTTTGTAGTAGCAGAGTGCAGACGCTGGGCCATTTTGATCGGATAACCTGATTAAACTACTTTGAATTCGAATGTGCATGTCTTCGTATCCTACCTTTGCATCACGTATTTAGGGACCGGATGAATTCTCCGTTGTGGTCACTAGCCATTCAAGTCTACCATTTTGGTCGAATACGACCACCATTTGAAAGATTTTGAAAATATCTGTTGCAGTAAAATCTGATCTTGCACACTATAAAGTTCCTTGGCAGCAAGATTTCCGGTTTAAAGATCCCAACCCTCTCTTCCTCGAGCCGAATTACGTTACATGGTTAAAAAAATTTCACTTTTCTAATGAGAGTAATATTTACAAAAGCATATGTCTGGCCTGAGTGCTGCAGTCTTCCCCTAAGCCTCGTCAGAGGCGATTGTTTGAAACTTTTCAACGAAAAGAACTTGTTCATATCCAAACTTTGTGGTTTCGCCGGTATGTTCTCTTGTGCTTGTAGTTCTTGTACTAGTAGCGATGATCAAATTTATTTTGCTTGTGTGACTGCACATTTTATTGATTCTGCTTGGAAGTTGCAGAAGAGAATTATCGCTTTTGTATACTCGAGTATGATCATAACGCTTATCGTAAGCTCGAGTATGGCACTCTATCAAATTGTTCTTGTGCTTGGAAGTTGCAGAAGAGTCATTGGAGTTCTACTTTGCTCATGTTACAATCATGTGTGAATTACAATGCTGCAATCACCGATTATTATAACGGTAAGCATGATGCTGATCTTTTATGCAAAGTGGATTGGGAGCTTAGTTTTGTGTTCATGGAGTTTTTGAGTGTTTTTTATGAAGTTGCAATCTCATTGGGTTCAAAGGTTTATTCTCCCAGTTCTTGTATGGCTTTCTATCATTTGTTAGGCATTAGCTTTACATTTTCCAAACACAAATCTCATTCGGGGTTCAAAGCGATTTATGACATTATGGAATCGAAATTCAGAAGCTATTACGAGTTCATGTTGCCTAGTTTCTGTTTAGCTAAAGCAAGAGTCCCCACGATGAAACTATGCGGCGTAGAGCACATGGTGAATGACATTTCCGAATGTTTAAGCGCGCCATTGAAATTCGATGTAAAAGCACTTGGCACTGTTGCATAACCAGGATTATGAATCCAAATTTGCAGAGGTTACAGAAGTTACAGAACCTTGTAGTACTTATAACAGTATGAGAAGAAGAGTCGATGTTCAAACTAGCTGGAGAGAATATATGAGGCAAAGCACTTGAAATTCGATGTAAAAGCACTTGACACTGTGCCAAACTTTACACATATCTCATCATTTATATAGCAACACGTTATGTACCACCCTGTATGACTGTCACACAGAAAAATCTCTCCAATCCAATAACAAAAATGTGGCAAAGCCCAAATACAGGATGAAAAAGGGAGTGTGGGAAGCCTGGATAGAAGCTTCACACTTAACACTCGACAGTCGCAGCAGAACAGACACGGTCAAAACGTAGTTCCTCAGTTCTTCGCGCCGTTTCCCAGTAACCAATCACAGCGTTTCAGGTACTTTGCTTCATCTACTTCCTTACCTTCTGTTTGGTTACCAAGAAAACTTCGAAATTGATAGTACAAAATTCAAGCCTTGCCCTTTTGCATTGTTTATTTGTGAATTGTTAAGATTACTTTATCTTTCTTTTCAGCTGCTAATTTCTAGATTGAATTGAATTGGTCTCCGCAAAAAATGTTCCCTTTACTGGGTTTTTTGTTTTAATTTCTCTAGACAAGTAGAATTTCATATGTCAATATTATATATGAACAGTTTAAGGTTTGTAAAAGTAATTGGAAGGAAGCGTAAATTAAGAGTTTTTAGTTTCAGTATTTACAATTTTTTTATCAAAATTCTGAACAGATGTAAAAATGGGTTCGAATTCGGAGACTCGAAGACTAAAAGAGAATTCAAAGTCTCGGGCAGGAGGTGGAGATAGGATTAGTCGATTGCCAGATGCAGTTCATTGTCACATACTTTCCTTAATTCCAACAAAGTATGCTGTGAGGAGCAGCATTGTGTCCAACAGATGGAAGAACATATGGGCTTCTGTTCCTAATCTGGACTTCGAAGATAGATCAAACACTCGTGATGGTTTTATATTGATGGTTGTATCGCGAGAGAAATCAACAGATTTCTTTTCCGCGAGAGAAATCTGTTCATAATGTCGTTGAACTTGACCTTCTAGTTGAAACGGATTCTGGTGATGATTTTATATTTGAGTTTCCTCAATGCATTTTTAGTTGTAAAACACTCGTGGCTTTGAAGGTGTATTCAAATTGTATTAGCTACAGTCCTCCTACATCAGGGTGCGTTCTAAATCTCAAGACCCTCTATGTCGGACTCGGAGCTGAATATCCCGATAGGTGGAAAAGATTTTTTCTTGCTGCCCTGTACTTGGAAGATTTAACTATAATGGGACTTCTTGGTGAATATGAGGTTTTGAACTACAAGATCTCTGCGCCTGCATTAAACACATTAAGGTTGAACTACCTGTATATGTTGGAGATCATGATCAGAACCACAGTATTTTTATTAATTGTCCGAAGCTTGAAAACTTGTTATCAGGCAGGTATTTTGTCGAGTTATATATTTGTGAACGTCAAATCCCTTGTTAAAGCCAGTTTTACTCTCTTTTTCCATAGTGCGGAGAATCTACAACCCAATTTCGATAACCGTGCAATACGAGCCTGACAGGAATTTCTAATGTTCAGTGTCTTTCTCTATCAGCTCATCATTTTTTGAAGGTAAATATTCTTTAACCTATTTCTTTTATACTATGTTTGGTAGAGAGGATCATACAGTTGAGCCCACTTACAGGGATAAGGCTTGGTTGTTGTTGTTTTGGTGTTTGGCATAGGAAGGAAGAAGGAAACAGTATGTTCTGCATAAGTAAATATTTAATTTATGCATGTGTTTTTGTTTTATCGATATATTATCTTTCATGAAGGGTCATTGTCTACCGGCATTTGATAATTTAAGAGAACTGAAGCTGGTTCTTCACGATTGCTATCACTGGGATTCGCTAACAGAGTTGCTCAAGAGATCACCTATTTTGGAATATCTTGTTGTAGAATATGAAGAAGTAAGATGCATTTCAGTATTTTCGCTCTTGCTAAGTCATTCCAACGTGCAGCTCTTTACTATACTCATTTCATTCCCATTTTTTCAGGATAAGGAATGTGTTAACAATTATGATGAGCATGAGTACTTAAAACATGTCTTATACTCACAGCATTGATGGAATACACCAGAGTCTGTGCCTATTTGTTTGATATCACACCTCAAGATTATCGCTATAAGGGGATTCAAGGGATACCTGCATGAGAAGAAAGTGGCAAAGTATCTGTTAGAGAATGGTAAAGTTTTGAATAAGATGACTGTTTATACAAAGAGTTAACACAGAAAAGGGGTTCTACAACTTGCCAAGTTGAATTGGTCTAAAATGTAAGTTTTAATTTGGAAGTCCAGTGTTGTGTTTTGGATGGATTCTGTTACCTGAGTTCTTGATGAGACCAGCACCTTTGTTAATCTTGAGACTGATCAATTTGAAGATGTTTGTTTCGACTTGAATATGTTTCCTTCCAATTCTTTAACTAATGGTGGCATTAACATATTTGAAGATATGTGCTTAGCGTACTCGTACCATGGTTAGCCTGTTGACACGTTAATTTCCAATGGATGCTGTTAGTCTTAATGGATCAATTTGCAGATGTTTGTTTTGGACTGCATTCATTTTAAACTAGCCGTTGCTTTTCAAAAAACTTTCCTCCCCAATAGCTGTACATAACGACCAGTTGAACTTATCTAAAATGCTAAGCTTTTATGAGGTTTTTATTCTGTTAAGTCCAATGTTGTGTTTTGGATGGCTTCTGTTACCTGAGTTCTTGATGAGTCGAACACCTTTGTTAATCTTGAGATGGATAAATTTGCAGATGTTTGTTTCGAGTTGAATACGTTTCCTTCCTATTGTTTAACTGATTATGGCATTAACATACATGAAGCTATGTGCTTATCGTACTCGTACACTGGTTTTTAGTTGATACATCAATTTGCAATTTATTCTCTTAGTCTTACATGTAATGATGCTACCGTTGACATGTTTAGGCCATACGATTAATTTAATTGCGCAACAAGGCTTGATATTGTTGAAAGCTCATATAGAAAAAACAAGGAGGGCTGTTTTTAACCTCCTTGCCTCCTCTCCTGCTTTGTGCGAATCTCGTGGTATGAAAGTGAAATGTAGAAAGTTTAAGCCTGATATGGAGACTCATTGGAACTATACTTTGCTCATGTTACAAACTTACAATCCTGTGTGAATTATTCTGCAATCACTGATTTTTATAACGGAAAGCATGATAGCGATCTTTTATGTGAAACAAATTGTGAGCTTAGTTTTTGTTCATGGAGTTTTTGAGTGGTTTTTATGAAGTTGCAATCCCATATAGTTCAAAGGTTTATTCTCGAACTTCTTGTACGGGGCTCTATCACTTGTTCTGCGTTAGTTTTACATTTTCCGAATACAAAGCTCATTTGGGATTCAGAGCGATTTATGACATAATGGAATTGGAATTCAGAAGGTATTGCGAGTTCATGTTGACTAGTTTCTGTTTAGCTAAAGCAATGGACTATCATAAAACACATTGTGAATGACAGTTTGGAATATTTAAGCGTGCGACTGAAATTTGATGCAAAAGCTCTTGACCCTTTGTTGGATGTATAACCTTTATAAGGTTTATGAACCCAAGTTTGCAGAGGTTACAGAACCCAGTGGTACTTCAGTCGTAGGAAAAGACGAATCAATGTTCATGCTAGCTGGAGAGAATGTTTGAGGCAAGAAGATATAAAGCACTACCGACCAACCGAGCTGCTCAATAACATGACAACCTCAATGTTCTAGCTTGGTGGAAATCGCATGAAGGGACGTTTCCTGTGCTTTCTATTATGGCACGCAATCTACGAACTCCTTCGGTGTCTGCAACAGCAGCAGAGTCTGTTCTCAGTAGTGCAGGCAAGCAGGTCTTGAAGGATTGGGGA